ACTATGGGGGCTGAGGCAAGAGACTCACAAGTTCAAGCTCAGCCTGCACAACACAGTGACAACCAGAATCAACATTTACAGTAACAATAATAGAAAAATAAGAGGGCTGAGTGTGTCTCAGAGGGCAGGTCCCAGGTTCAACCCCAGTACCACAAGAAATACCCTGTGTTCTTTTCTGTCCTTGAGCAACACCCTTAATGTTGAAAATGGCCCTACTCCCAAAACTGTGATGCAAATTTAATGCAATCCTGATCCAAATACCATCAGCGTATCTCACAGAACTAGAGAAAACATTTTAAAAATTCATTTGGAACTGGAAGAGACCTAGAATATCAAAAGCAATTCTGTGCAACAAAGGCAAGTCACGGAGCATCACATTACTTGACCTGAAATTATACTATGAAGCTACTGTGATAAAATCAGCACGGTACTGGCAAAAGAAGACCTGAGGATCAGTGCAACAGAATAGAAAATGTACACACAACTCTAAAAACACTCAATCATCTAATCTTTGACAAAGGGGCCAAACACGCTCACTAGAAGATAGTCTCTTTAATAAATGGTGCTGGAAAAACTGGCTTTCCACATGCTGAAGTCTAAAACTAGACTTGTCTATCATCACGTACTAAAGTCAAAATGGATCAAAGATCTAAATATTAAAACTAAAACACTAAATGGACTGAAAAAGAAAATACGTACAAATCTTGAAGACAAAGGTGTAGGCACAGTTCATGAACAAAGCCAGACTGCATGGGAAATACTACAAAGTATCAACAGATAGGATCTCACTTTATTAAAAAGATTTTGCACAACAAAAGAAATCAACAACACAGTGACAAGATAACCCCCAGTGTAGGAAAAAAGTTTAGCCTATTGTCCCTCAGACAGAGGATTTATATGTAGAACATAAAAAGAAATGAAAAAAATCAGGCCCACAAAATTCAAAGACCCAACCCAAAAGTGAGCATCTGAGATGAATATATATACCTCACAGATGAAGAAATACAAACGTCAAGAACATACATGAAAAAATGTTCAACATCACTGGTGATTTGAGAAATGCAAATTAAAACAACACTGAGATTCCACCTCACCCCAGTAAGAATGGCTATCATCAAGAAATCAACCAATAACAAATGCTGGGGGGCTGTAAGGAAAAATAACCTTTTTCCACTGTTGCCGGGAGTACAGACTAGTACAACCACTGTGGAAATCAGTATGGAGATTCCCCAAAATCTAGGATTAGAGGTCCCATTTGACCCAGCTATTTCCCTTCTGGGTAATTTCCCGGAAGATTTAAAAACATCATATAACAGTGATATATGAGCACCAATATTTATAGCACCACAATTTGTCACAGCTAAATGTTGGAAAAAACCCAAATGCCCATTAAATGAGGAATAGATAAAAATGTCGTTTTTTTATATAGTGGAGTACTACTCACCCATTAAGAAGAATTTTTTTTTGTCTCTTGTGACAGGGTCTTGCTATGCAGTTCAGGCTGGCCTTGGACTCACTTTGTAGCCCAGGCTGGCCTCCAACTTACAATGATCCTCCTACCTCAGCCTCCCCAGTGCTGGGATTACAGGTGTGCACCACCATGCCTGGCAAACCCATTAAGAAGGATAAACTTAACACTTTTATAGGTAAATGGATGCAACTTGAGACCATACTCTGTAAAATAAATCAGACTCAAGTGTAAACACTGTATTGTCTCCCTGGTGTAAGAAACTGAAAGAGTAAAAATAAGGTCTAAAAAGTACAATAGATATTGTGAAATGGGAAGAAACTGATCAAGTGGAAAAAGGACCTAGGATGGGGGAAAGGGGAAAGGATGGAAAGGAAAAGGTAACAAAATGGAGGTCAGTTATACTATTAGTGTCTCTCAGCTCATTGAAAAGGTTTGTGTTAATACAGATTAATGAAAATTTTTGTTTTTCTCCGGTACCGGGAACCGAACTCACGACCTTGTGCTTGCCAGGCAGGCGCTTTGCCGCTGAGCTAAATCCCCAGCCCCTAGATTAATGAAAATTTTAATGCCCATACATTATACTCTGAATAACTACTTTAAAGATAATAATATGCAATACATTTCCTATCATTTTGTTATTAAAGTTCGTTTTGCCTTTTTCCCATAAAAATGTACAATAAATAAAACATACATTAGATAATATACGTGAACTTCTTTAAAGGTTCTGCAAATACTTCAAATGTACAGTATCCTTTCAAAAGAGCTCTAGATGTTCATTTCACTCTGGTTCTTCATTTAGTTGTGTCAATATGATGTTGTATTGTAGAAAACACCTTCTCAAGTTCCAATGGAAAATAAAGACTTCACGCTGAGAATTGATCTCAAACACAACCACTCATTTATATACTTTAAGTCTCCAACTGGACCTGACTCCTCAGCCCCCACCCTGATTGCCAGCAGAAGCAGTGCTGTCTGCAGGGAACTCAGCTTAGCACCCAAAGCCATCATCCACAAGCAAGGGAAAGCAAGTAAGACAGGACAAGAAATTTTGAAGGTTCTGGGACATCTGGAGATAAATTTGCATCTGACACTTCAAAGGACTCTGCAGACTGTGATGCAAGACTGCCAAAGACCTTGAACCACAGATGTTCACTGGCATCTTCCTGCCTATGGTCCACAGCCTTCTCTCTACCCTGATAAAAAGGGACACATGTCTCTTTGTTGGGGGCAGATGGTCTCCCTGTCTGAACTCAGGGACAATAAATTCCATGGCATGTTGCCTTTACACAAGCCTGGTGGTCTCTGCTGGTTACATATGTTATAGACAATATATCCATTTTCATAAAATTATTAAATACAACATGTATTCATTCATTAAAATCTTTAAAATCTTCAAGGAGAAAGATAAACATACATTGAAATAGAATTGGAGATTATGTGATTACTTAAGGAAAGAAGTATAGACTTGGATATATATGATGATGCATATGATACAAATTCTTCAAATGACATCTTGAATACAAGTATATGTTTAATACCACTAAATCAACTATGTGGAGGACCACCTGGCCAGCTCTCCTTGAAAGAACAGCATTTCGCCCTACCTCTGTGTATTGATATGGAGAACTGGCTAGGACATTTCCTTATCCCTTCACTTGGTTTTAAGGGATTCAAAAAGGTCTAGCCAAGGTGCAGATGTGCAATCTTTGAAGCAAGGTGAAATATCAGTGATGCCCACCTACAGCTCCAAACTAACTTGTGTGAGCTTGGCCAGGAGACTTCAAGCTGGGCGCTGAGAATGAGCCTCAAGAAAAGAGGCTATAAAAAAAAAAAAGAAAGAAAAGAGACTATGACTTCTCCGGGCATGGATGACACACCAAAAGCACAAACTCCAATACTAGGTACTGCCCAAATCTGTGATATGCAGATTACTTTCAGCATCTCTCTCTTCTCTCTCTGTACATTGCAGAGGTGATTTCAAGCCTCCTACCTAGCCCAACTCACCGCATTCAAGTACACACCCTCCAGCCACTCCCCTCTTCACAAATTAATAAAACCTGGGTTTGGCCCTGGGTCGAGGCCTTTGTTTCTGTTAGCCAGCCTTCTAGCTGGACTTAAGACCCCTTTGACTCCCCACAATTACAAATATGCCTTAGTGTCCTTATTCTCACTATGTGTTGCATTGGAAGTGGTTGACTGGAATGAATTTACTAGAATTCCACCAACTTTTCCATGGGATTACTAATGTGGATTTTTCTGGACCCAGAAGGGCTTTCTATAAACTGTATATGTTATAAAAATCTTCTAAAATCCCTTCTGCTGTATTTTTCACATTTCAGATAAAGGAGAAAGGGGTAGAGGTATCCTTCTCATTGTGTGAAACATGCTATACAGTTAGTTATTTAAGTCTGAATCTCAGACATGGAGACACATTCAATTTATAAGGAATTTCAAAAAATATTACTGATTTACTCAAACACATTAGGTAAGGCTGGCGCTACCAGTCAAGAGGAAGAGGTAACTGATCATTCCACCATGGTGGTAAAACTGCTCCTACTACAGGTCAAGTGAATCTGATTTTTGCATCACAGTCTTGTAAAGGTGAAATCCAGAAAAAAACATAAAGTTATTTTAACACTGAAAAAAGAATAACAGTAATTCCGCTCAGCAAAGAAATACTGGCTAAAGTGAACAAGTAGATGAAAAACTGCACAAAGGTTTGTTTTTTTTTGGGGGGGGTTGTTTGTTTCCGGTACCGGAAATCGAACTCCGGAGGTCACGCTTGCCAGGCAGGCGCTGTGCCGCTGAGCTAAATCCGCCCCCCCCCCACAAAGGTTTTTTGATTTCTACAGGAAATAAGAAAATACCTAGAAAAACAAATGACGGACTATATACATAAAAATGGAATCTTCACGAATGTGAGCACATGTTAGGAGTAAATAACGCAGAGAAAAGCTTATACAGTAAAATAAGAGAAGCGCATGAGAGCAAGCATAAATACAAGGACACTGGGGGCTGGGGATTTAGCTCAGCGGCAAAGCGCCTGCCTGGCAAGCGCAAGGTCGTGAGTTCGGTTCCTGGTACCGGAGAAAAACCAAAAACCAAAAAAAAAAAAAAAAAAAATACAAGGACACTGGAAATGCGCCCACGCGCTCTGCGGTGTGTAGGGAAAGCCATCGACCGCAAAGTCAGGCGGACCCTCAGAGAAGCTGGAGGCAGCGTGTGGCCGGCGTGGGCGAAGACGTGCGACTCGGGGCGCGAACGCTCCCACTGTGCACCGCACCGCACTCATGCTCTAGGGCGGCGGAACCAGGAGGATCCTGCAGCACCGACACACGGAAGCCCGGCCGCGCTGCTGCCCACGGCGGGCAGGAGGGACAAAGCGGGAACGGTCCGGGAGCCACAGGCCGACCCTGGGCTCACGGACCGGGAACCCCAGGCCACCGTGGCCGCTGCCCGCCTTCCCGGCTCCCTCCGCCCTCACCCCTCCCGCCCCGGGTCAGGGTCGCCGCGCCGGCTGCACAGTTACCATCGTGGGCTTCTCGGAGCGCCTCCCTCGCGGCTGGAGCTGGCGAGAGTCAAGGAAACAGGCGGCCTCGCCAGCACGACACCAACTACGCACTTCGTGCTCAAACTTCCGTGCAGTGGTGCCGTGACGCAGACGCGGCCCTTTGTAACGCTCCACCTGATTGGACAGTTCAGAGAGCCCCGCTGATTGGCTCCTGCTCCATTGCCCACCCTCTGAGCTGAGAGTGACAGCAAAACCAGATCCCTCCCCGTCAGTGCCCCCAGATCTGAGTGCAAGTTAAAATTGTTGCCGAAGTAGAGCAGAAATGTGAAACTCCTGTTAAGTAAAAGTAAAATATTTTGTAAAGTTCTCAATCATGTAAATAGATTGAAATGTTGTGTGCCAGAGCTAACACGACTTTGAGAGATTCCATTGTGAAATGAATGGCGCACTTGGCTAGAAAGTACTGAGACGTCCTAGTGGCTGGTAAGGCTTACTGTCTCTCAGAAAGGGAAATTTCTGATTCTTGTATCACCACCACCAAAATATAATTCTGCAAACCAGTAACTAAATAGAAGCATGGCAAATGTTTCAACAGAAGATTCACTGAGAAGGGAGACTGAGAGGCTGATTACTACGTGAAAAGATGGCTAGTCCCGCTTCTGTTCATGGAAAGGCAAACCAGTGAATATAATCTTCTAGGTAATAAATAAAAACAAAATGAAAATCGGCAACAATAAAACTGTTTTAAATTCTGTCAAGGGGTGGGGCGTGGTGGTGCACTTCTGTAATGCCAGCCCTTAGGAGGCTGAGGCAGGAGGATCATTGGGAGTTGGAGGCTAGCCAGGGCTACAAAGTGAACTCGAGGCCATCCTGAACTGCATAGCGAGACCCTGTCTCAAAAATAAAAATTCTGGCAAGGATAAAATTAGAAAGCTGTTTTTCCACATATGATTAGTTTAAATGAATATTAGAAATAGGTAGAGTAATCTTTCAAGTTCCAACACAGTTGAAAAACTGCAACTCACTATTTCCAGTCACAGTACATAGACAAGGGAAACACTTTTACAGTTAGTGCACTAGGAGACTTGGAAAGGGCTGTTCATTACAGCATTCACTAACTGCATGGTTGTACTTGACTCTCACAGCTGCAGACACTTGTGCAGTTGCAGGACTGTGTCTTGGGTCCATGCCACAGCTGGAGGTGATGCAGAACAAAGCATCAGTTAGGTGCACTGGGGTGCAAGTCCATGCCTGCTTCTGGGATCAGTTAGTTCTGAGACTCAGACCATAGCAGTCTTAGTTACTTCCTTTATAACTGAGACAAAATACTTCCCACCCACATGTTAAAGGGGGAAACATCTATTTTGGCTCATGTATCAGTCCATAGATTTGATTGTATATACTTATCTCATTCAATTAATCAATGTTGATGTACATTAGGTGAATAATCTCTAACAGGGAGCAGAGATTGCTGTCCAGTAAATTGAATCTGAGACCTATGATTAGCCTAACTATAGAGGGGCCGCCAATATCACCTTGTTTCTTGAGCTGCAGAACACACTGGCTTGTGGCTCCCAGATACTCAGAATAGCTGTAGTAAGAGAGCTGCTAGTGGCAAGCAGCATGGTAGTGGAAAGAAGCTGCCTCCTCTGTAGATGGCCTTGGGGGTTTGTTTTTTTTCTGCAACAAGGCTTTGATATGGAGAAGTTTGCTGGATTCAGACTAAAATATACACATATGAAGAAAATATGAGAAAAGAGTTTTAAGACAAACTCATTTGTGTAGTCTTGTGAAGAGGGACTTACTTCATTGTCCACTTATTTAGTTCAAACACTTAGTGTTGACATAAGGGAGAAAAACTCCCAACCTGAACAATATCTGGGACAAGTTCATGTTCTCTAAAATTGAAGAAGGAATTTTATAAACAAAGGAGGTTAAGAACAGAATATATTTACTGATTAAAAAAATTCTGTCCAAGAGAGGCACAAGGGGGCTCAAGTGGGTTGCCAAGGGCCTTGCCCTTCCCAGGGACTTTATAGAGCAAAACCATGATGTGAGGTGGGTCCAAGGTAGGGGGAAAATAGGAAATTACAAGGTGGGCATGGGGTGGGACAAAACTATTGTCAGCCAATAAGATTACAAGTATAATTGTTCAGGTAAAATTGAGTAAATTGTGATCAAATGGGGAAGCGAGTCACATAGCAAGCAGGTATGAATACAGAACGGGCTTTTCCTATAGGAGGTTGGGCTGGTGACTCTTTCTGGCTTTTTAAAGGTGATTGCTACCTACTTAAAGTCTCAATCCCTGATGTTCACACCTAGAAAGGTATGTGCATTTGTTTAGTTTTCTGTTTTGAAGTCTGGCCCACATCAAATACATCTCCATTCACAAGACATCTTGTCTTTCATGTTGGCTCCTTCCAGGGCCTGGTCTTGTCTGACTGCCTATAATATTTCTATCTAACTCAGCTGCCTATAACACTGCCACATTGTGAGGTGCATATATAGTGAGATCTTTACCTAAAGTCAGCTTGGATGCCTCTGGAACTAAGAGAGCTACAGTTGTCATTGCTCTAAGGCAAGAGGGCATCCCTTTGCTACAATGTCTAATTTATGACTCAGATACCCTTACTGGCTGTTGAGTGGGTCTCCGATCCTGTGTGAGCACTCCCAAAGCCATACCTTGCCTCTCATCACCATATAAATTGAAATGGTGTCCTGTGGGGAGGCTTAGGGCCAGGGCATTTAGGAGAGCTTGTTTCAGCCTCTGGAATGCTGTTGGGGAATCAGGTTTCCAGGTTAAAATATGAGTATCTGCCTTTTGGGCCTCTTTTATAAATTGATAAAGGGGTCTTGTAATTTCCCCATATCCTGGTATCCAAAGGCAACAAAAGCCTGTGATTCCTAGGAATCCCCTTAGTTGTTTTAGGGTCTTGGGCTGTGGGAAGGAAAGAATTGATTTAATTCTTTCTTTTGCAAGCCTTCCCATTGCCTTGGATGTGATGAGTCCTAAATATTTTACCTCAAGACTGCAAAGTTGTGCTTTAGATTTACAGACCTTATAACCTTTGTGTGCTAGAAAATTTAGCAAAGGACAGGTGCCTTGGCAACAGAGCTCTTCTGAGGGGGAATATAAAAGAATGTCATCTACATACTGTAAGACTGTGACCTGGGAAAACTCAAAGCATACCAAGCCATAGGAAAGCACTTTCCCCAAAAGATAAGGACTATCCCTGAATCCTTGGGGAAACACTGTCCACATCAACTGAGAGGCCTGGTCATGAGCATTTTCAAAAGCAAAGACAAACTGGGAATTTGTATGTAAAGGAAAGCAAAAGAAAGACATCTAACACTGAAAACCACCTGGCATCTTCTGGAATCTGAGAAAGTAGCATGTGTGGGTTAGGTACCATTGGGTGAATTGGCACTGCCTCATTTATTAACCTAAGGGTCTGTACTAATCTCCATTCCCCATTGGGTGTTTGAATTCCCAAGATTGGAGTATTGCATGGGCTGTTATGGGGCTCAAGTAAGCTTTGTGCCCTTAGGTTTTATCTATTATAGGTAGTAATCCTTTCTTAACTTCAGGTTTTAAAGGATATTGTCTCGGTTAGGAAAAATAGAATCTCTGAGATGTATCTGTACTGGAGCAGCTCTTAATACCCTACCTGGGAGCTGGGGATTTAGCTCAGCGGCAAAGCGCCTGCCTGGCAAGCGCAAGGTCGTGAGTTCGGTTCCCGGTACCGGAGGGGGGGAAAAAAATACCCTACCTATTTTGCCTTTAGTTACCCATACTTCAGGATTTATCTCTGTCTCCACAAGAGGAAGTCAGTGTACCTGACCTGAGTGCATATGTATTACAGTATTTAAGTAAGATAAAATATCTCTCCCCAAGCAAGGGACTGGACTTTTAGGTATTATCAAAAAAGAATGTGTAAAAAGAAAACCATCCCAGGTACAGCCTAAGGGTTGTGCAAAATAGTGAATTACCTCCTCTCCAGTGACTCCTTTCACTGAGGTATAATGGCTGGAAGGAAGGCCAGGATTGAAAAGGACAAGAGACTTGTGCCAATGTCCAGCAATAGGCTGGTTTCTTTTCCCTGTATAGTCATGATTACCCTGGGCTCCTCCGTGAAGATGATAGTTTAGCCAGAGTGAGAGGGCAGAGAGCGCCCTGGGGCCCTTCATTCTTGCTGGACCAACTGGTAGGTTGGGTCTGAACTCTGGGGCCTTAGCTTCAGAGGGCAGTCTAACCTCCAGTGGTCACCTTTGCAGTTAGGGCATGGCCCAGGGAGCTTCTTAAGGCAGTCCCTCTTAAGGTGGCCTGGCTTCTGACAGTGGTAGCAGATGAATGTAGTCATTGAGTTCTTCTTGGGACCCCGAGAATCAGACTTAGGGTCTGTTTCTCTTAGTGCTGCAGCAAAGACAGCTGTTTTTTCTTGGTCTTTTTGTTTCTTTTCCTTGGCTTCCTCCTCATCACAGTTATGAAATACTGTCTTGGTTACTTTTCTCTCATTGCTGAGATAAAATACCCAACGCCCAAAATGAAGGAAGGAAAGGTTTATTTAGCTTACAGTTTGTGGAGGTTTCAGCCCATACTTGGCTGGTTCCGAGGCAGAGTGGCACATGGCAGGGGGCAACAGTTCATGGCAGCTGAAAACAGCAAAGCAACAAGAGAAAAAGTGAGGAGTGGCAGAGAGGAGCCAGCCTCTTTCCCTCCCTTATATTGTAAGCAGGCTACCCCCACCCAGGGGGCATGTAACACTCACATAATCTCCATGCCCTCCTCTTACACAGGCTCAGGATGAATACAAAGCAAGCACCCTGGCTCCCTGCTAAATCACATAGTTAACCTTCTAAACTTCTCAAATTGACACAATGAACAAGATTGCAGAAGGGTAAGGGGATATCCTTTTCACCCCAAGATACAGAACTGCTGAGTCACTTAGCCAAACCTCTAGACTCCCCAAGTTGACACAATGTATCAACCATAACAAATACTGAGGAAGCAATTTTTACTAACATATCAAGTGACCTATCTGGAGCAAAAGCCATCTTTTGCAGCTTTTTTCTAATATCTGGGATTGACTGAGTAATGAACTTATCTTTAAGAATAATTTGTCCC